AAGCTGTGGTGGCCTTGCTTGCGCAAACTCTTGGGTAAGTCCGGACACGTCTCGTTGTTCGACGAGTGACCATGCGGCATGGTGATTCGAACGCGGACCCTCCTGCTGGGGAGGCTCTCGCTTCGCGTATTCGCAATGTAAGACGTCCTTAGCTCTCTTTTGGGGGCGGGGCGCAGGGCGATCCGACTCATTGTAGGATGATCCAACTTTGGATCATTATTCCTCATGTGAAAACGGCGAGCATCGAGATCTGCGAGGCTCCTGATTTGTGCGAGCATTGTACGCGTCGCGTCACCCTCGAGTCAGTGCCTTCTGTACTGACACGCCCTTGTTTCTTAGTTTCGAAGAATCAGAGCCTTCTGCTCTGATTCATTTCGGTCCCCGTGGATCAGAGACTTTTTCTTTGATCCACTTTGGTCCGCAATAGTACTTGACATATGCGAACGAGTGAGTGTGTGGGAATGTGTGATAGCTAGCTAGCGAGCGTATTAGTTTATAAGTCGTCGTTGTAAGAAAGGGAGCCATAGCGAATTCCGGTTTCATTCTGACTCCCTTTCGGGTCTCTAAAGCAGCAACCTCCTCGTGGTGAGACCCGGGCAATCGGTATCATTCTCGGTTCAGAAAGTCTTGCGAATTGCAATGAATTTCTGAGTCGAGCATGATACCGAGCAAATAGCTGCAAACTTTATATTGTAAAATAGTGTGGATTTATAGTCAGTGCTCGAAATAATGTTTGGTTCGAAAATTATTGAAATTGGTATTCTTCCGATCGGTGGGCCCCGTGGGCGACTACGGGGGGTAGCGTCCCCGAGATGCCCGAGGTGCTTGTAGTTCTTTAAGGTTCTTAATTTAAGATTGTTAGATTTCGTTTCCAATTATTTTCACAAAAATTGCACTCGGGTGTGTCTGTCCTATGCTGGTGTTAGATTGTATGTTTGTATTCTTGAGGGATTATCATCCGCCTAAGGATGCGTGCGAGCGAGCGTCTTAATTCATAATTGCGTGTGTTATAGCTAGTAATTACATGCGTGCTAGTTAGCTAGCGAGCGAGCGTATTAGTTGAATAAGCCGTCGTTAGAAAAGAAGTCTTAACGTATATCGACTTCGTTCTGACTCCCTTTCAGGTCTCTCGATTTAGAGAATGTTGCAAATCGCAATGAATTTTGAGTCGAGGATGATATGGAGCTAATAGTTGCAAACTAATTGGTGAGTAATTAAAGAGCAATTTTTTTAGCTATGTCGGTATCACTGTTTTATGCGCACATGGTCGATCGTGGCGCCTCTAGTGGAGGAAAAGTAAAGCTTGGGTCTGTACAACGACAATTGGGGTAGCGGCATTCTTTACCAGTTGTCGATTTTGGGTAACAGTTTGAGCGTTTGCTATTCCCCTAATTGGTTCTGTATAGCCCCGAACGATAGAAATAGTATTTATAAAACATATTTCAGACATACGATTTGATACAAATTTCAGAGATACGACGCAGGATAAGGGAAAGAATCGATCGAATGAATTTCATAGTTCTCTAAATGGTATTTATTTCTGATACATTTCACAGTTTGTGAACTGCTCAAAAGACAATTCTGTAGCGATTTATCCGCAATAGAGACAGTAAATGTTAGCACATTACCGATCATATAATATCAATATTTAGACCTGCTTCGATATTGACGAAGGTCGCATCTAAACAAGATGTCTCGTCTGATCAACTTTTCAGTAGCACAGTATTATTAGGTACGTACACGTAGGTAGACTTAATAATGTAACGGCGCTTCGTTTCTGTATTGTATCTGGCTCGTAAAATCTCAGAAATAAGGATTCCATATTCTTATTCTGAAAGTTCACGTCTTTTTTATGGTACACATAATTCTTGACTTTTTAGATACCTACGTAACGTACGTTTTTGTATCTAGTACAAATAACTACATAATAGTAATAAATACTTATCTTCTACTTAACGCTTCTTTAAATGCATGAAGTGTAATAAGTTCAGAGAACAAAGTACGTGTTCACAGTTTCCGTTCTTTGCCAAAGGTTTCTGTACGTAACACATTGGTATTAAATGTAGTGTGATGTAGTTATATTATTGACGATTATTGATGATTAACTTTTTGAGATATAATAATAATTTTATGTATTTAATCATTTTTATTAAAAGTAATGAAAATAAACTGTCATTGAAAGACATGATTATAGTAACAAAGAAAATGTTTTTTTCAAATGATTCCAAGAATGTATAGTAGAAAAATGCAATGCATATATAACAGAAAATTTCATGCAAAGAACAGTAACCACTCACAGTTGTCAACATTATTCTTTAAATATATCTATATAATACATACTTAAGACTATATGTTATTGTTTATCGTATGCTTAACAGTATAAACATCGATTCCTGCTCTTTCCTTCTCACTTATTTACTCTATACACATATATACACTCACCAACTGTCCCCTGTACTCTTTCAGCGTCAATCAGTTTGACACTACTGTGAGATACAACAAAGACTACAAGGATATTAAAAACAGATTTAAAGGCAGCTTAATGCTAGATGGATTAGATAGTTTTTCATCTTCTTTCTTTTCTCCTTTTTTTTTTAAATTACGAATTGGCATTACACAGCGACGTGACTCGAAATCAAAGTAACGCTGAACCCTGTTTTCTTTTGTTTTCCCTGTTAGAAGCGCGTATCTCTAAAGAACATCTCACGAGTATAATATTCAACACTACAAGTCTGATCAGTAGATTTTTTATCACCGTATAGAAATCGAACGCGCAACAAGTATTATTCTGAACATCTGCAAGCAGAACAGAAGGCTTCATCAGGTTTTTTCCCCAAAGAACATTGACATTGTTTGTCTACCGTGATCAGTACATTGCACAGACACAGTCACTGGAAAAGAAGTACCCAGTGGCAACATCAATTAGTATGGAATTTTCCCCGCAGGTTCATCAAAACGTGTATTTTTACCTTCGCGCATAACAACCTCATTATTCGAAGTTTTAACACTAATTAGTAATAGTTGTTCTTATAAAAGCTTTGTCCATTTTGTTCGAATAAAACAGTAAAGCGTTGCAAGCCTAGCCTAATTATATGTAGGAAACAACTTTGTTCCGAATACTCTACTCCCTTTTTTTATTTATATTCACTCACAAAATTCAGTGTACAGTATTGTATGCAATAGTAGGTAATTATAATTTTACAAAATACAACAAGAGATATCAGAATATAATTTTGAAGTAGACGACTCGGAAGTAAACGAAAAATGTATTTATACTACAATATATAAAACGTATTTTACAATTTACGCGTATACAATATATAATTTTATAACTACTAAAGATAATTTATTATATTTTGTATAATACAGAACATCATGGAAGAATAAACCAGATAGTAAAGAAAGTTCGGAAATTATCTTGCTTGCGTATATCCAACTTTGTGAGCAATTATATATCTTTATTTCTTTTTCTCGTAATATTATTTTTTGTTCTTAGAACGATGGGCTAGTTTCTTATTATATTTTTTATACCGAAAGAATTCCACCTGTGACGTAAAGTAGAGTCTCGGAGACAATGTTGGAGAAAATATTAACTCTATACCGATTTCGACTAGGCAGCAAACACGGTCTCTCGACAAACCGTGGATTCACACTTTGCATTTTCTCGCATTTCTCTCGCATTCGAACCGATCATCGAATGATATAAACAGAACGCGACATTTATTAGCATTCACATAATATATTTGGTGACGTTCCAGAAATGTTTAAATACAAAAGAATGACAGGCGCGTTTCAATGTCAGAAGTAAAGTGGCTATAATTAGATCAAGGTCAACTTGATCATTCATGGCCATGTGGAAGGGGCCATTGCGAAAAACACCCCCGCCGTAAAACCGAGCGATCTCAAATCGAAACACAGGCTACTCTATTCTGTTTTTTTTCAAAACAAGAGACCTGAAATGCAGGCGTCAATGAATTGTGGTTCATTGATAAGAAAAGGGCTTGGGCAGCTATAGTGTTGTGCCAATAAACTTCAGGTCTCTTCCATTTAAAAAACAGAAGTGATTTCAAACCTGATCAGAAGCTTGTTTTGCTTTGCACATTTCGAGGCAAAATATCTGACCCACAACCAACCGTGAATACACGCAGACCAATTATCCTCGAGTGGAGGGGCAGTCACTGGTGAGAAAACCATGGATCTTCCACATCTGAACTCTAGATCCAGAGTGTAATAAGTCACACTGTTTGTACTCTGGTTTCAGAGTCCCTCCGCATCCTTTCAAAAAAACAAAATTTCAAAAGGCTGTGTACACGACGAGGAATGCAACTCGGTAGGATATTACTCTGGATGTAAAATGACCTATCACCTACAGCATGATGGCGGGCGATACATACAGTGTCTAATGTGTTTTTGATCACGCGTGAAGGGGCTCATAAACACGATTGATGATTTAATAAGATTATCATGGACACCACCAAGTTACTACCCCTCCACTTTTCATATCTGCTTATACTAATCTGCATAGATACAGTTATGTACACCCTGTTTCTAACTGCACAGTGGGACAAATTTCAAACAAATTATTAATATAACATTCACACCAAATACATTTTTACCGTGATAATCGAACGAAGTTTTTCCATTTCTATCTGTTAGATTAGACGCGATCACGAATATATGAACAATTTACAAAGATTTTATATTCATTAATTTTCTTCTTCATAAAAAGATTTACAAGAATACAACAATCGTTCTTCATTTATGAACAATATTTGATTTATTTGCAACCTCGAAAAATGCAAATTTTAAATAATGTAACTGTTATCTGAAGGCATGACCTTGAGCGGCCATAACGACTTTGATCCAATTATAGAGGCTACGGTGGCCGTAAGCAAATTTTTACTATCACCCAGAGGAAATACAGTTCCATAGATTAAGCTAAACAGCTTTGTTTCTTTTCGTTTGCGAACATTTCTTTGGTTTCGTGTATATATTTCAAGTAAAATAAAAATAAATTTTTAATTCGCTTCCGGCGCATAATCATCATTGAGTCGCATACACAGCTTTAAACTCCTCTTCTTTTCTTTGCTTCTGTAATATTCTCTTCATATACACTTATATGCTAATAAACCTCTAATTTCAATAATTCTATTTCGCAATATATATATACATATATATGCGTATGTGTGTGTGTGTGTATATATTCATTGTGAGACGCGCGCGTGTGTGTATGTACGTGTGTGTACGCGTAATTATGTATGTACTAACAAATAATATGGCATTACAAAAATGTACATACAGTCGTAACGATGTGATTCTTATTAATCGAGTATGCTAATAATACTATCGGTGTCATGCAATATTAATGTCACATTCTGTCCTTCGTAGAGGTGGAGGACCTGTTTTTAAACATCCTAGGTTTACGGTTTAAACGTCAGTTATGTGTCGTTACGACAAGAATATTTATGAATTTTCGATCTTTTTTCTTTCTCCTAGAACGCGACTGTATAGAGTACATATAGTATATACTCGTAATTGGCAGTACAGAAAAGAAGTGTGCGCCAGATGTTTTAAGATTTGCATATTAGAGGCTAGACCATTTTTTCTCTCTGTTCCTTCCATTCCATTTCACACACTCACGCACGCACCCACGCTTCCTTTTTTGTAGTTCTGAATTGTGCACAATTTGCTGAACATAATCTTGATTACGAACAACGAATATCTCTTCTACCTTGTAGAATCGATACTAGCCAGCAAGATAAACCAGTATCCGCTGCATTATCTCTCGTTATAAACGAATTACTGTGATTCACGACGAACGGACTGTCCGATCATGTATCGCCTGCCCGGCCACCAATGCACGTACAACAGTGCCACTGAAGTGGAATTTGTTCGTTAACCCGATTCGTAATACTAATGATTCATACTGAAATATATCTTATATCACATTTTTTGTTAACATCGGCTTTGAAACCGTGAAGAGTCCCCTTTCCAGTCTTTCAATTAACGAAAGTGACAGTCGAACCATTCACTCGACGCACTTCTCGGCGTTCCTCGTCCTCGTTTAGAATTTAAACTTTTCCATTCATCCCTTTCGTGAAATTTAATCCGTGAAATTGATCAATTCACTCGAGGCCATTCAGGGACCACCCCATCAGATCATACAGTTCCTTTTGTTCAGTTTAGCGAATTCTCAGCACCTTCTGGTCCTTTGTTAGATACACAAGTAAGGGATACAGCAAATAAGCAGGTGAACCAACATCTTACGAGAGTTCTTAAGCAGTATCAGCGTAAAAGAAGTAGACAAGAATGGCGAAACTGAAACGTGCAATTCATCCAATAAAGTTAATAGATACTATGGGATTTACCTCTCAATAGCCAGGAGTGACCAGAACGTTCCAACACATAATGCAGTCGAATTTGGATCATTTTTCGTTATTGAAGGACGAAAGTCTGTGTAGCCTTTATTCACCTATCTCATAGCCATCCTGATTGATTCACCACTTCTAATTCAGAAGGACCATGCTCCAAAATCTCGCAGCAATATCCAACGTACTTGCATGACAGCGTCAATGCAAAGGAACCGAAGCATAACTCTGAATTCTTGACCTGATTGTCATCCTATCCAAGACACTGTTGCACCAGGGCACATACAGATTTATAGACAATATCACTTCAAGTGAACTAGGAAGGCAGCAATCCAAATAAATCAAATCTTTTTGGTAGAACCAAGAAGCTTCGAAGGTTTTCAAGAAGAATGATAGAAACGTAGGTACAAAAGTTCGAGGCCAACTGGTTTAGGGATACAACGGTTGTGGAGAAGAAGGTGTCTGGGACGTTATTTACGCTCTCAATCCTTCGGCTTTCGCATCCAACTTTTCCTGCCGAGGCTTGTGACACTCACAGTGCTGGCAGTACTGGAGACACTTGCCAATGAGTTCAGGCTTACCGAATGTTAATCTTGAAACATGTGTACGAAACTGATTGGGAACATCCCCCTTCTTTCCGGGGCCCGCTCCAACGCACCCTCCATCCAATTGTCATCGTCGGTTTGCTCGTTGGTGACAATGATGACTTCCCCTTCCCGAAAGGACAACTCGTCTTCATTATCGGCTTCGCAGTCGTACAGAGCTCGACAACGTCGTAGTCCGCTCAAAGTCGACGAGGTTGGCTAGAAATGAACGAATATAAGATTAGGACCAATGAATCAGGGTGGGAACGCTAGTTTTAGTTCTCCATGGATGAAGCAAGCACTCTTTAACCCTCTGACGACCAGCGTCATGTGATAGAAACTTCTCTGCGTTGTCGAAAGCTTAAAACTTATGCTAGCAATTTACCTCTTTCTTATGTAGTTGCATATATTACAATAAGAACTATTACTTTTATTTTGAATTATCCTATTAAATTTAAAAAGACTCGTTAGTGATTGTTAACACTAACCGTATCATCGCCGGTTAAATGACTGGCTCGACAATTTTTATTCTACAATTATCGAAATTATAAAGATACAACCACCGGAAAACATTCAATAAATTTATTCACAACATATATTAATATAAAAATTGAAAAAATTAAAAATAAATTTAATATTGTAATTTATATAAGGAGCAACATAGATAAGTCACTTTTAATGCTCGGTACGGTTAGTGTTAGTTTTCTTCAATGTCTACTTCAACAACCAATAGGAAGATGACCTTGAGTTGACATTCAATTTTTAATTCAGACAAAAGATTAGGTGTCAAAGGGTTAACTTCTAACAGTTGACAGAAACAAAGAATGCTTCCTTAAATCACAAAGACAGCTAAATTGGAAATTCTAGATAGAAAAGATAAAAGGGAGATAGTTTCTTTCCAAGAATGTATCATTCAGCAGATCGTGCACAGTTCATTAAATATTTTTTGATTTGTTCCTTTCTTCGAAATCATGAGTTCTATGCATAAACGTTATTAGACGTATTAGAGTCTACTTGGCTATTGCTGCGTAAGTAACACTTTTATGTATTACATCATGTGTATTTTCATGTTCTGTTTTTAAATTATATGATCCTAAAAGTTGGCAGTAATTACTAAACTGTTTCTTTTTTACATGATAGCACATATTTTCTAATTGTTTCTGACAAGTTTTTAATCGAGTATCCCATAACATTGAGTTTGTTAAGAAAAAAATTTTGTTATTGATTTGAATGCATATATTCCTTCATTACTTTACACTTACTGAACTAGAATTTCCAATAATATGCATCAGTTTCATGCCGGTATTTCTTAGGCTAAGTCCTTAGATTTAAGCTATCAATACAATGTAAAATTACAAAGTGGAAGGTAAACGTGCTATCTTGACGTGGGTATTTTCTTTGGGTATTTCATCTGAATACATTACAATATATTGTCCTCACTGCTTTCATCCACTTTGTGAGTTTATCAGGATAGTTTACATCAGAGTAATTATATAGGGCTTAGTGCGTTCAAGTGCTATTATTAACACAAATTTAGAAGGCTCATGCGAGAATTAATTTTCAAAACATCTTAGCACATTATATTTTGTTCAATATAAATATTACATCGACAGATAGGATTTGTACATAGGAAGCTCGAGTTTTAGTTATTCAGTATTGTTAACCATTATGTCTGTTCTATTTTCACACGTTGTTTACTCATTAAACATCGCACAATAGAAATCCAGGAAGTAATGTAAGTTCGATTACAACTGAATAAAACAATCGTATAGAATAATAGTACGGACAACAAATCTGACAAATGGAAATAAAATGTTATTTTTACAGAAATTATGCCCAAAGCATTGACAATGAAAAACGATTGTTACGGACAGCACGACTGATCATGCAAAAGCATTGTCACACTTGAAAGGATAACTATAATGTTTCAAATATTGTATTGTTTTGATTACTTTGATTGAAGAATATGAATGAAATAATCATCAAATAAAAGATTATTGATAACTGAAGTTTTACATATTGAAAGGTTTAATTGTAATAAATGCACAGACACAAAAGTTAAAGCAAACAAAAGTGGACATTATAATTATTCAGTATTATTTAGATGTTTTATATAAATGGAAAAAGAATTTTTTAATTATAAATAGTAAAGATTGCAACTGTGTATCTAAAAGAGAAACTTCTAAATTTTCGTTGTTATATATAGATCGATAGTACAGAAACAAAAAGCATCTTTCTGTTACTACTTTGTTCGAATATTTTATAACAATGCTAAGACACATTTCAAGTGTAACAAGCTGTAATGTGGGATGGCTGATGTTTACCAGATTCAGATTTGGGAGCAAAGATGAAGGCTCCTCGGCGTAGCTCTCTAGTCTGGACCGGTCCCTTCGCTGTACCAACAATGGTTAATAACAAACCATAAAGCACTGTTTTTGAAATACATGCACTTTCTAAATATCGATTTTTTTAAAGATCGCATTGTTTCTCAGATTTTCGAATTAAAAATAGTGCTTCTTAAGTTTTCGCTGTTTCTACGTCGATTCTTTCAGCGTGGATATATGTACTCATTTTTTAATAACGTTATTATCAAATTAGAAATGATAAATTATTTATTTTGTGTAAGAATTACTAATAATTATTAGTTAAATGAAAATTTTAGACATTTGCTCCAGTTGTGTTTTAAGATGTCACATATTAATGAATTATGCAATATGAAATAATGGAATGTGCTTTTTATTACAGGAAAGATTAGTGAATGTAAAATTGCGATGGATATACGATGCTCATGATTAATATGTAATATACTAGAAATTATCGATACTATATATATATGTGATTAATGTGATCTACGAAGTACCATCATTTATGAGAAAGAATCGAACAAAAGCTATTATCAACTACAGCATGGGAAACATGGGAGGAGTAACACCGTGTTAGTCAGATTTTCTGCAATTAGTGACCATGTTAAATGAATAATAATGACTTGAATGGATGTATATACATACACATACAGTGTTAAAGGAGATGTTAGAAGTCTACCGGCATTGATGATTGCGCCAAATAAAATCAAATAAAACGTCATTCGCTTTAGCGTGAAATAAATAATGTCTTAGTAGGATTGCATTACATATCCGAAAATAATATTAAAAAAATATAATATACAGGAGTATTCCTTGATTTCTTCTCTCATCGACTCGCCCCTCCTCTCGAGGCCTTAGTTTCCGTATAAGTATTACGAAGTTTAATAACTTACACGAATGATTTGTAACTTACCTTGCGAGGTGGTGGAACAGGATTACCCAAACCGTGATCCGAGCACATGGAACTTAATGACTCGCTGCTGCGACCATTGCTTAATCTGGACGAATTGATGACTGAAGGCGCTGGCGGTGGAGGATTTCTCGGTCGTTGAAGCGTCGAGCTGTTCACTTTGTCTGCACCTAACAACAGACAAGCTATAATAAATATTGGGGACAGACCGGGAGCGGAAGGTTGGTAAAGGTTACCCGAGCCAGGTGTCAGAAGCTTGCATAAATTTTCAAACGCACCGTGTCCCGTTGAAGAATCTCCACTGGGCGATCTTTTATGATGCTGACTGTTTAATGTATTTAACGCATGTGGTAGAGTATGTAAAGAATGCCCAGCTAAGATCGGTTCGCTCGTTGTACGGCTATGCGTTGACGCTGCTAAGGACGCGGACGAAGGTAGTGTACCATAATGAGAGGAGGGTATACCACCTGTACTTCCAGCCGGTGGTGGTGGTGGTGGAGCGACACGTTTCTTCAGTGACCCATGAATATTGACTGAAATATCCGGTGCCATAGGTGCAGGTACTGAAACAGAGATCGTCGTAGCCTAAGTACCGAGCTTGATGGAATTTTTTAAATAGATTTTTCAAAGTCGATGACCCGGGCTCTCCCCTTGTCCCTGGCGAAGGAGTGGTAAGGGTACTCAGGATATGTCGCAAGGCGTTAAGTGAACAAAAGAAAGGCTATACCAGCAACAGGTTTCCTTGCTTGTGGTGGAGGTGGTGGAGGCATTTGTTGCCTATTCGTCGAGGCACTTGGCGACGAACCGCTTTGCAAACTGTCGCAAGTGCTGCTTCGACTTCGCAGTGTCACTGGTGAGTCTCCTGACCCAGTTCCTCCACCACTGCCACCACCACCCACATAAGATGGCGGTCTACTGCGGGATTTCTTCTCTGGCGTCAAACATCCATTCTACAAAGAATGAGTCAAAATATAGAGAAAACCGTTCTCAACAGATTTAGTTGTTACTCTTCCATGAACATACCCTGTCCTCTATTATAGTTTCGTCATCAGAAAAGTCAGTGGAGCCTTCGTCATGCGAGAGGTTCCATTCAATGTTAACATTGTCGAATAACGTTTTCTGTCTTTGCAGAGCATGGCTCAGCTAAACAGAATGCAGCATTTTTAATTACAGTTTGTTCCTTTGATATTATGATATTATTAAATTGGCTTATAATGCTTTACCAGTTCTTTGCAAGTATGGTGACCCATCTCTTGCGCAATATCTAGTGGAGTTTTATCCTGTTTGTTTCGATGCGTAGGATCGGCGCCTGCACGTAGCAGAAGTTTCATCGCCTCCGCTCTGTCATGCCTTGCACAAAGGTGCAATGCTGTTTCTCCGTCGATGGTAGTCCTATCTGTTCCACCTGTTGACATGTTTTGCACTAGGAAATCAACGATGTGTAAGCTATTTCCCATTTCGCGTAAAATGGCTAAATGCAAAGCCGTTTCACCCACGTCCTGCAACAAAATGGTATTGTGATAGTGAATCTTGTTTGAACTAATGATGAAATTTTCTTCGGTCGATAGATATTTTACCGAAGTAGGTAATGGCGCTGCCAGATCCACGTTCTCGGCATAAACTTGCAGAAGTTGTTGTAGGTCACGATTATTTACAGCGTGTTCCAGATCGGACAGAAGATCCCTTTCATCCGCGCATGTGCTCATTACATACCTTTTGTCCACGTATTTGGCTCTTATGAAGTCGTATCTATCTTCCCTGTTCAACAAGAAATATACCGCAGAGATAAAAGAAATCACTAAACATATATAAATTTACTTACATCGATGATGTTGGAGTTGGCTTGTGACTATGATGCAACGTAGCTTCCATCACTTCATTGAACGCCTGGTTAGTCATATGTCGCGCAAGCAGTAGTTGAGCTGTGCCCACATTGTCGAGTGTTAGGGATTGTATTCTGGATATGTGTACTCCTAGATCTCGATGAATACCACTGCATTCTATGCACACGATTATGCCAAAATTTGTGGACAGCCACGTAGCATCTATGAAAATCGAAATAATTGCTATTTTAAATAGTTATGCTTTTACATTTTGGAATATTCTATCTTATTCTTTGCAGTAGTACTGACTACAGTTGATCATGCAATTTTTGAGAACAAGGATAAAATGAGATACACCTAGCAGTATTAACTTTTGTCTCTCAATACGTCTTCCCATCAGATTTACCATTTTGTGAGGAGCAATCACAACACTGATCATTTCCCGGTAACCTCATAACGCATCGGATCACGGCCTGTTGCAGTTCAACTAAACTCGGATTGCCACTGCCAGCCTCTGCTTTACCACTGGCGTCAAATGCTCGGAGCAAAGCTCGTTCTTTGCAGTTGACCAAGACGGACATCCACGCACGTTGGTCTGCCTCGTCTTCTGCTTGGAAGTGATACGTTCTGTTGTCTGAAATCAACCAAGAAGTTACCCAAGATCGAACATCCGTTAAACAATAATTCCAAAACTCCTTGCAGCATGGACTCACAGCTAATGAGATCAAAACCCCGCTTGTCGTCCGGTACTAGCTTGATTTGGCAGGTTAATAAATTCACTCGTGTGGGCGGCTTATTTTCGTCTGCGTGACAAATATCAAGATAACCCTCCGCTTGTACAGCGCATCTCCTCTTCTGCCATACCCTCCTCATCTTGCCCTCGCTCTTCTTCAGAAGGTGTCCCGACCGAGTGACACCATGCTGCTTATCCCCTTGTAACTGATGAAGCGAATATCCTGCATTCGCGTTCACATTTAACTGAAAACCATACTGTCTTGAACGTTCATATCGTTAAGTTTGATGGATGAAAAAGCTTGAAACAATATAATTTTACTTCTTTGTCACAACCGGAGCTCCTGAGGAGGTTCCTCAACTCTGTTAGTCGTCTCCTCTCTTCGTCCTGAGTCTGCCTGATCTTCTGCAACTTCACGCTGAGGTCCGCCACATAGGAACCAAAGTGTTCGATCGTTTTTAGGCCGTCTTGAAAGTAACTGGAAAATAGAAACTCGATAAGCAACTGTCCTGTAACTGTCGTAACAATATTGAAAGCTATTGGGAGCTATTTGAAAATGTATATTATATATATTATATATAATATATATAATATAATATATATATTAATAATATAATATTATATATATTGAAGTTGTATATTCTTTGTTCTAATTAGCTGACTGATCGTCTAAATTGCTTTTACTGATTATGAACGCGTCTTTTACAAAGGAAAAAGAATTGCTAGAGTATAATACAACTTATGTCTAGTGCAATGTCCACCCTTCGACGTTCTCTTTGTCAACAGGAATAGGGTGTTAAAGAACTTTCTCGTTATAAAATATTCTCCATTGATCTTACTTGGTTTGCGCATGGTAATATTCGACTAGATGCTGAAGTAGTTCAATTCCCTTCTTGGTTTTGATTTCGTTCACCTTGATCAGATACTGTAACAGAGACGACGACGACGGGGTCGGTCGTTAGCTGTCGTCGCAATAAATACGAAGGAAGAGAGAAAGAGAGATGGATAGAATTACTGTGATTCGTTCCGGAGACGATTTAGGGGGCCTCACCTCGCACATTTGCAATTGAAACAATCGTCTCTCCTTTTCCATCTCATCGGCGATCTCGGCCGGCGTCACTTCCGTCCGAATGAGGCCAGCCTCTTTCGCGTGCTGCTTCTTCTCCTTCTCGATTTTCGCGTATTTCGCCTCGTAGTCTTTCCACGCCTTCTCGAACGGTCTCTTCAGGTCGCCCTTCACGCCTCTCAGGTCCCCCTTCAGCACCGAGTCCAGCGGGAACATCACGATGTTGTTGATGTTTTGCATCTGTTGTCAAACGATACATTCACGATGTTAATTAGGCAATCTTTCCAGCGAGCATAAGAACGTTCTGTTATAATATCTTCAACCGGCAATTTTGAGAGAGAAAGTATCGTGAACTCGTGAGACGTGTCTTTAGGAAACCTTTTTAAGAAACACGAAGAGGAACTATCATAATATCTTCGAGTGGCAATTTCGAGTATCAAGAAAGATACGGTGAAATCTTGAAAAATATTTTCTCACATTAAGATTCAGCTGATGCTTTTTTTTTATCAATAGTACAGAGACTACGAATTCTATGCATTTATGGTAACAATGAGTGGATGAAATTTTAACAGCGTAAAGTTTGAAAGAACCCGAGAATATCGATACAGTGTCGTTAACTTATTAAAATGATTGCAGGAAGAATTGTTCCATTTGTAACTGATCTGTGGTTTTACTTAAATCGGTAATACGTGAATTAAAGCTTTCGGCGAAGTTTTGCTAATTATTTTCCACTTTGCTCCGTTAGAAGAGCACGACGAAACGAAACCACGGATACGTTTCGTTAACAATAAAAATAACCATGTTATTCAGAGATGTGATAACGTTGTTACAAAAACAGAATGAAAGGAAATGTCTGCCATCATAAATTACAGAAACGCGGGATTGTTTTAGAGAACGAACGAGAAAACGAAAATTACCAGAAGGTGCACTTGAATACAAACGACGAGATAACCGGTCTTCTCCGGTTTGAATTATTTTCTTACGGAATCTGTTTCAAATGAATAATTTATTGTTACGTAAAGAACGGAACGACCGGGGCAGAGAGTATGGCGTCCATACGCACCAGCGTTTTCATTAGAGCGCTCAATTCTTTCGTGACGACCGCAAACTTTAAGAAAGCGGCGCCGATATCCGGTTCCTGTTCTTTCAGCGCCGCATCACCGAGCCTTTCCAACGCCCTTCCAAGGTACACCTCGTTATCGACGTGAGCTGTAGCAGAACAGAATAAATCGATCTTTAAAATCTCGCTAACGAACCAGCAAACGAATATTTATACATCCCTTCATTTGCGCTGAGAGCAATTAAAATATGAACGCCGCATGCAAAAAGGAATCGCTTAAATAATGCTTGACAATTTTCTTTTTATTTGTATCTCATTCTACGGAGTGCCCAACCTTTCGGAACTCGCGGAAGATCTTTGGAAAAAAGCAGCAGAATTTTACGTCTTGTTTGGAATATAATAACGCTCCTTAATAGTGCAAAGAGTTTGTTCTATTCCTTTTTTTATTCGTTTTATACATGTATATTTCTCCCGAAATTTTTAATTTAATTTGCACTTTGCTCTATTGTGTTTTCAATGTCGCAGAACACGTGGGAAATGTTTGGGAAAGAGCTACAGTAATTTCTCCCTAATTCGCGCTCAGATTGCGCACAAAACTGAACAATTTGAGAAGAGAAGATACGAATATTCGAGCTTTGCTGTGCGTTTTTATAGTTAACGTTTGTCAGCAACTACAAAAACGAAACGCAAGGCACGAATAATCGCATCTCCTCTCCCCAACTTGTCAATTTTTGTGCGCAATCTGAGCGCGTATTAGGGAGAAATTACTGTATATAGAATTTTGCATCTTGCTCGGAGTCTAATAAGGCCCCTAATAGGGCAAAGAATTTGTTCGATTTCTTTTTCTACGAATCGGTTCACAACAATCCGCATATTTATGCAGGAATCCGCGGTTAGGATTAATAAAAATCCAGCGAACGCGAGAGCCGAACGAAAAATCCGACGTGCAAAATTAAGTCGTGCCTCGTAAGAGCCTTATATACGGGAGGATTATTTGTTTAATTAAAGAAACGAAGAACGCGAGGAAGAAGGCACGGGCGAGTGGAAAAGCACGCGGAAACCGATAGAAACTTCCATTTAAACGGAACGCCGGAGCGCCGCTCATTAGACGCTTAGAGAACACCTCGGCGTTACAAAGGCCACAGAGTAAAGAGGGGAAATTGGAAACTTTCATCCGATGTCTGATCATTTTTAAGCCGTCCACCGCTACTTACCGTTTCCAGAGTTGTGAATGGCTTTGATCGCTTTCTTCAGCTTCGTCAGGCCGTCCCTGTCGAAGTCCAGCGTCTGCAACAATTCAAGCGAATCACTTCCATTATCTGCTGATCATCTCTGTCTTTTCAACTATGAAAACCAACAAGTTCGACAAAACTCGAAACCTTCAACTACACGAACCCTCGTTCGTCCATCATTTTTTGTAGCTCATAGTAACCCTTTGCACTGGAAGCCATTTTAACTTCAAAACTAAGATACTTCTTCAAACGCATATAGAATTTTCATTTTGTATTATATTTGAAATACATTTCGATATTGATCGCATTATCACGTTCAACGGCCGCAATCAATCACTAAAATTCCCCCGAAGCTAAAGCAATTTAATTAATTAAATCGAAACTAGAAAGTTGAAATTTATTGTAGCGCATGATATTAAAACTCTTTCGTATCCGAAACATGCTAGTCAAATTCAGTTTGATCGAATATATTGTAATGAAAATGGATCTTCAAAATTGGCAAAAAATTAGAGAATTTATTCAAAGAAGGGTATTTTCTATAATTGGCTTTCTTATACATTTTTACGACGCAATGTCTAGCCTGCGGACTTTATGGATTTACTTTTTAAAATTGATTCGACCCACTGCAAAACAATGAAGATATTCGAAGAATCTCAAACTACTGTTGCAATGTTTACGATTTAATTAATACGTTAATTTGTTTACGATTTTCAACTTCTAAAAAATTAGTAACCGTATTGTACCTCCTGGTACTCTGAAATGAACGCGAACAACTTTTGCATAGAAATCTGCAGTCTACCAGCGATAAACTATAATAAATTGACAAGCCCCCAGCGCAGCAAGCATAAAAACATGGCGCCGGAGAGATGCAAATTTCCTTCTCGGCGAGGTATTCGCTCCTTTTAACCAGAAAATTTCTAATTTTCTCTCATACCTTTCAAAGGGTTCGGGCTAAACGCCGGTAAGCAACGCTGTTGTAATATGCGCGCGTATGTATACGTTTTTGTGTGTAGGGGGCGTAAAAAAGGCACGCGCGCACGAAGCAGAAGGCCTCGCCGGTTGTTAAACGCGAGAAGGAAAAGCAACAACAACGAGGAAAGGAATTCCCGAGCAGAACGACGACGCGGCGATACATTTTATCGGATCACGCTTCGCCGAGCGGAAGATTCGTATATCTTCGTTCCTCGCGGCGCGCGGCCTTCTTCTTATCGGGGCGGATTTTTGCGTTCCGCGGTGCGCTCTCGCGATTTTCAATAAACCGCGGGGACAGGGCCGCATAAAAATGTATTGGAATCTCCGTCGATCCCGGCTAAAGGAATCGCAATTAAATCCGGCTATCGCCGCGCTATGTGCCGGGCAAATTTCAGCTGATTATCGGTGGGACTGGGAACGCGGCTCCTCAGATAACCCACCCCTGTTTTCTTCTTCCGCGATCGTGCCTAACGACTATTAGGACTTCCATTTTGCAAATGAGGTAAGTTTGTTGCATCGAACTTGCAGGAATTTGTAAGAATTTATAATTTTTTTGTTCGTTTTAGTAATTAACGACGACGATTGTCTCACAATATTTGCAAGACTGCAATTTTTTTTTAATGAAATTTACAATGTACGTCCATTGCTTCTTTTACTAAATGTAAACCAATAAAAGCGTTGTCCAGTGTAAGAACAAATTTGTGCCTCATTCGATATAGTTCCTCAATATTTGAAAACTTCAAAATTCTTTTGTTGAATTCACAGTGAACGGGCATTGATATTTTCAGTTGTTTTAAATCGATGAAAGCATTCTAATACTTCATGTATCATGGTCAAGCAATACTTATAAAAATGTAAATTTTTTAAATAAAATTCACGGTGAAAAAGTCATTGTGTCTCTGTCGTTACCAAATTGTTGCAAAATTGTATATTTAATGTATATGTATTTATAAAAGTGTATATATATATTTATTCTGTATTTGTATTAACTCTAATGATCAAGTATCGATAGGAGATATTTCGATTTAGATTAGACGAGTAACGTCTGTGCTTGTAGTAGATTCTGTTCAAAATTTTCATCGCTAGTTTAACGCGTTACAGTGCAAAGGGGGTTGAATGTCGAGTTCACGGTGCTCTTTCACAAATTAACAAACTCGTCTTATTGCAGGGACTATAGCCTCAGAATCCGATTGCCCTAGGGGTCGACGAACCGTTCTTTCATCCCCTGAGAATTCCAGGTCTGGCATTTACCGAGGCGTCATTAATTTTCCAAGGATCAGTGGCGTAAGTAAAGGCTTGTAAATAAAAAGTGCGCGAACCTCAAAGCGTTAATCAATCTAGACGCGGGTTCGCCGATCGGTGTTAATTAGAAGGGAGAAAATCGCGTCTTCGATTCTTTTAATTATCGTCGCGAGACTCAAGGGCCGACCGTCGACCATCGGTCGTTGAACAGTATCGGGGATCGCAAGGGAACCGGATTTTCATCGGTGAAAACACCGACGCATCGCCGGCAGAATGCAAATTTCGGAAGAGACGCGGTCATCGAACAAACTACCGTATCAGCGCAACGTGCTCAACGACGCGCCGTGACGTGCCGCGATACGCCTTGATGCCATTACCTGAGCCAACAACAGAAGGGAAAAAAAGACGGGGCATCGGCACCCTTAACCGTACAATACGCGCCATTCAACCGACGACAGACCGATCGAAACGTCTCATGTTTATCGAACGATCCGACTGATCAAGGGATCGCTCGTGTTCAACCCCTTTCTTTACGGTGGAGGGTGCGCGCGCTTTTGGGGCTTCCGAAGGTCTCCTGACAAAGGGTACGCTGAACTACGAATGGAATTTCCGTGGGTTTCGCTGTGAAGTTCGTGCTCTTGAAAGATACTAATTTTTAAATTGAAGTACTTCGAGTCTCTGTGATTATTGCCATCTATTGAACATCTGGAAACGTAAGAGGAACATCGTGCCTCATGTTGAAATTATTAATATAAAGAGAAAAAGTTGTAGGTTTTTAAAATGCAATTTTTAGCAGAATTTTATTGTCGTTTTTAGTAATTTTTAAGCGTCGATGCTGTTGTTTTTTTCAGTGTGGGAACAAATTGTACTTAATTTAATTTAGTCTCTCATATACTTGCAAAAAAGCAAACTCTTTCGTGGAATTCGCAGTGGGATTTCATTGTACTTTTTAGCCATTTTAGATCATTGAAACTGTTGTCTAATGTAGGAAAAGATTATGTGCCTTAGTCTCTCAATACATAGTTGAAAGAACTATATTTTTTAATAGAATTCGCAGTAGACTTTCTTTGTTGTTTTTGTTCATTTAAAACCAATGAAAATGTTATCTTATGTAAGAACAAATTGTACATCATTTATCATAGTTTATCAATAGTTCCAAGAAAGTATTCGTCGTGGACTTCGTGGCTGAAAATAGTTTGCTAACATAGAAAAAGAAAATTACCGCGTATCCATCTTTTCAAAACATTTCCACCAGTCAGAAAAACATTCAGAGGAAGTCTCCAAAAGGAAAAACCGTAGGCGCGATTCAGCAAGGTCGCCGTTACTAAATCCGACCCTAATGTATGCACGCACCGATAGAGTATTGTGTAACGTGATTAAATAAGCCTGTATCCTTATTGATAGTGCGTTTATCAGGCCGGTGACGACGGAGGTTCCGTGATGCATAATGCAAGAATCTTAAATGTTTGAGCAGTTTTTACGCTGCTTAAGAAACGATTCTTTGCGTTTTCGATTTTATAAACAAATCCGGAATCGTTATGTAAAATCTTCTGCGTATCCAGACAGTCGTTAATAGACTGCGGATTTTATGCGTTTATGATAAAAATCGGTAGGTGTAATTTAAAACAGTTAAAAAATGAAAAGAAACTAACAATGTGAATGTATATATATATATATGAATTTGAATTTATTAAAACTATTAAACGTTCTTAGGATTGAGAATTATGTGCAGTAAATTCTTCCTAAATGACGCTCAGCTTGGAAACAAAAATGTACAATTTGGGAATAGGAGCATACATTTTGGCAATATTTTATATTGGAAGTATTTATATTATATTATAATAATTTATATTATATTATATATATATATTATATTATAATAATTTATATTATATTATATATATATATATTATATTATAATAATTTATATTATAATTTTATAGTTGTTGACAATAGGTAACTATAAAAACAAGTCGCAAGGCTCGAATAATCGTATCTCCTCTTCCCAAAAACTGTCCATTTTTGAGAGTCAAAAACAGCTGAGAGTCAATTAAGAAGAATTTACTCTACAATGAACGTTTCTCGAGATTTTATTTTATTTACAATAGTTGATAGACCCTCTTTGTGATTGTTAATTAGTGAAAAGTTGCAACGGTTTCGACGGCGAACGAATACGATACAGATCAGGGGACACGTTCAAGCTGACAGAGTCATCGAATTTCTGTCACTCCGCCCCCTGTTTTATTCAATTTGTTCGACGATCCTCTTCACACAGTACCAGTCCTGCGTATTATGCGAACAATAGGGACGTTCATCGATCGGTTCGCTTCTGTTCCAACTTTCCAATTATACCCGGTGTAACGTCCCTGCCCGGCAAACTGGAATATAACGCGAGCATCGGGGGACGATTTAATTTTCCAAGCATCGACAACCACCGTTAAGACGCGATGCAACAAATTCCAACGTTTTTGTTCGACTAGTTAACGCCGCTCGCAAATCAACCCCTATCCTGCATGGTTCACTTTCATTCTGAAACCCTAATTAACGTCAATCGAATAGCGTCCATGTAAATTTCACGAAATCGTATTTATTTAATGAAACGAGAACCGAAGAGTTCAAATTCATTCGATTCTCTTAACCCCCTGAATTTTTCACAGATCATAATTATCAAATCTGCTTGAATTATTCATATCATTTCGACAAATTATTGGCCTGCACATTTGGCACTCGTATTTAAGTAATTTATAGGTTTTGCATTAAAAATTAATCTTTTTGTAAATCATCTTCACCTTTTTCACCTCAAAATTAATCTTTTTGTAGATCATGTTCACCTTTTTCACC